CTTCCCACACTCTTCCAATATTCTAAACAATGTTTCTAAACTCTAAATGCTCTAAAAGAGCACAGAATGTCATGATTTCAGCTCCCTGACACCTGTCAGCGTTCTTGGCCACGCCCACTTCTCCATAGGAAGTTTATCCTGCAGCAGTATGGGCTGCGCAAAGGTGCAGGAGGACACTTTTTCTGCAGCTCTGGGTTGCATAAATGTGCAGCAGGTGCAAAAAATTTTTTTTTTTAAATTTTAAATAAAAATTTCATGCCGATTGTGCGGCTCCTCCATCAATCAGCCAATTGTGTGTCATGTCCAATCTTATTTAAAAAAAACTGCGATAGAGCAAGTTTGCGTTAAACAAACCGCGAAGTAGCGAGGGACTACTGTAATTCTAAAGTATTTTTACTGCAACATCATTTTGTGTGTACTACAGATTATTCATATAACTAACAAACCTCAGGATTTGAGTTGATCACTTAAAGTGACTTAATTTATGACTTAATTTAGGGGTCGAGATGGGGTAGAGGTAGGGCAACTGACTTGAGACCAGAAAGTTACGGCTCAATCCCCACTTCCCCAGCCATCCCTACATGTCGGGGTGTCTCTGAGCAGGACACCTAATCCCTAATTGCTCCCTGGGTGCTCAACAGCTGCCCACTGCTACACCTGGCTGTATCTAAGGTGTGATGGGTTAAATGCAAAGAACTAATTTCGCCATCGTATGGAAACATACAATGATGACAATCACAGACTTCCCTTTATGTGCTGATACAAATCAAGTCAATCAGGTATAAACAGCAAACACATTAATGAGGCTGTCACGGTGTCCGACATCTGAACAGTTTGTAGGGTTGTGCTCGAATGTTCTCTGGTGTAAAGCGTTTTTACCTCACTTTCAGGGGACAATCGCTGGGAGGCTCCTTCTTCTGTTTGGGCATTGATGATGGACTTCAATGCCCCTTCTTCAAACTGGAATACACAGAGAAAACCCATTTAGTGAGCAGACATGTGTATAAAACACACACACGATGAGCCTACTCACCTTCAAGCGGTTCAGTTGGTCTTGCAGCATCACTTTGATTTTGAGGAGCGTCTCCTCCTCCTTCTTCAGCTCCTGTAAACGGCTGTGCATGTTTCCTGCTCCAATCAGACCATTCCTAAAGACTGGAAGAGCAGAAACACAACGATTTGTGTTTTATACATGCTGTGTTAACTGTTACATATCTCACATCTGTCCTAGTTAAAAAGACAACATATTTGATAAACATTTAAACAGATTTAGTCACCAAAGAACCATTAGTATTGCTGAGATTTTTATTGTTTATAGAAATAACACGCAACTTTACCAGTAAAAGGAACATCGATTCCTGATTTTACAACAAGCTACAAGGGACAAACAGTTTCGTCTATAACGGTAACCTGGAAAGAACAGTTTATTTTACCAAATAGAGCCCAGAATATAGTTTGAAAGCTTTACCTCTTTTTATTAACTGCGCCTAAAGCTTCATAGCAGCATTAAAGTCGGTGATACGGTGAATTTATGTCAAAAGCTCAGATCAAGGCTTTGCGCTACACTACAGGCTACTAGCTAAAGTTTGGTTCCTGTGATGGTCATGCGGTCACATCCGGGACTGTGGGGCTTTCAAGTGCTGGCAGAAATTGTAGCTTTGTCTCAGGGTTTGCAGCAGAGCACCCACAGAATCTAAATTATTTGACTCTACACACGAAGCTGTTCAACTTTTTTTTTTTAACCTTTATTTTACCAATAAATAAATCTACTGAGATTGTTAATCTATTTTCCAACATTATTTTCCAACATTTTAACAACATTTAGTTGTTAAAAAGAGTACATTTTCTACGGAGGTCTGCTGATATTGTTTTTGCAAACATTTTCACTCATAACATCTAATTTTGTAAAAGTGTGTTTGTGTCGCAGTTTTTTTTTTTCAAGGTTTCACGCGAACGCTTTGCTAAAGACTTGGTGTATCAACTTTTAAAAATACGACAATAAATTGAGCACTGAAAGGCAGCATTCATGATGGCGGATTGTGGAATGTGGCGGCATCTTGTGGTAAGTCGACGGTCTTCTTCGTCTGCTTGTACTTTGCAACAGATTGTTTTTGTATTGAACGCTTTTTTAAAAATTTCAACAGAGGATTTCAGACGATACGAAAATTAAAAACGTCCCCAAACAGTTAAACGAGGAACCTGAAGCATACTTTCTAAAGCGGTTACAGCTGTTTTGTTTTTTTAACAATGGCCGCCTATTTTCGTAGACAGGTTTGACTTTTAAGTTTGCATTTTTATTGTAAAAAAAACAACATAAAGCATTTTGAAGTAATTTTTGTTGCATTGTTTGCTTGATTACGAAGGGACGATAAATAAATAGGTGAGCAGGTGTAGGTCATGCTGGGTTTGTGTTTTTTTGTTTTTTTCCAACTAGGCAGAGAAGCTGCTGAAGCTAGACCAGGGTCTGCAACCTTTACGATCAAAATAAACATTTTTACACCTTTGTTCACTACATTAAACGTGTCAGTAAGGGTGACACTATAAAGCAAAAAATATCTATTGATTTTTAACATTTATTAAAGTAAAAAAACAGATTCTTGTGGGGGGGATATTTAAATTAAAAAAAATCTATTAACTGTGCAGACACTTCTTCATATAAAGAAATAAAGTATCAAGTTAAGGTATGTTTCTTCTTGTACTCGTGCCAGTGTTCACATATTTGAAATAACAGAAAAACTGTTTGAACTAGTCCTTTTTTGTTGTTTGTACAACCAGTAAAATTCAGTTTTATGTCAGTTTTGGTCAAAGCTTGAAAGAGCCGCTGCAGAAGAACCAACGAGCCGCATGTGGCTCCAGAGCCGCAGGTTGCAAACCCCTGAGCTAGACTCATAAATCCCTAATCAGGATTATCACTGTGAATAAAAAAAATCACTGTAATGCCACGTTGATTGGTGATATGTACTGCTGATTATCCATGCTGCTGATCTCATGCTGCTGATTATTACATGCTGCTGTGTTCATTCGTGCTCATCTGCTCACGCAGACTCATGTTCGTGCTGCTGTTGTTCGGCGTATTATTTAGCACTATTAAGTGTTTAGTGTTCTTTCTTAGTTTAGCGTAATTCTTAGTTTATATCTTAGATCTTATTACTGTTTCTTTTTATAATTTATATTTTTGCTGTTGTTGGATGTACGGTAACTGGGACCCTGTGTATACAATTTTGTTCCACCTCATGTACCACATGTGATGCGAATGATAATAAAACCTACTTGAACTTGAGAAGAAGGAGCAGGAAGGAAGCACAAATGTTTGTTTTGTCGCTTGATGAAAAGGATTAAAACAACCATCAAAGGAAATAATCTTGGTTTGGACATTGGACTTTTATTTTTTTATTTTTGCCTGCATTGAAAAATAACCAAGTTGCAGTAGTGGCCTTTGGATCTTTTAAATGGTTTGAGTTTGAAAGAAATCGCCACAACACGAGTATTTTCATGCATGCTGAGTTAGGCATTCATGCAGCTCCCCATTGTTTACCCCAGAGTTGCCCCTCCAGTAAATATTCAGCCTTACTGCACTTCGCCTACAGTTCATTAGGATCCAAACCTCCAACTATAATGAAAAGGAGCCTGAAAAGTAGATAACAGGTTCGGTGAGACTTAAAACAAGCTCCACATGGAAGCTATTGATTTGAACAAGCTCTGACACAGCTTTTATTTAGTGAGGAGCCCATTAGCTTCTTTAAAAGATTTCCCCTTTAAGTCCATCCAGATGTTTGTGTTGATAATCATACAGCATGCAGACACATCTGGAAACACAGGAGACAAGCCTATAGGAGGCACATACCCGTCTGCCTTACACACATGCAAAGAGTTATTCTGTGGGTTGTAGATTCATCACATTTCCTAATTTTTCCACGTTTCTTATTTATTTGGTGGTTTTACATTCTTTAGATTCTTGGTGCAGGGATGGGGTTAATGAAAAGTGAAAAACACCACAGTCACAAAGACTTTGAGGACTCCTACATCATAGAAAACGTATACAGCACTGCATAAATCTTCACTGCTCCCTGTAGATTTTTATTTTTGGTTTCCAAGAAACAGACTTTCTTGTAACCTTTTAAAGTGGTCTTCAGCAAAATGTTATCTTCAGTTTTCTTTGGATAATATATATACCTGACTGTTTTCAGAACTTTTTTTTTAATTAGGCCACTTTAAATTCAATAGATGAACCAGTGTTGTGGTTACACAGGCAATTTAGCAAAGAACCAACTACAATCTGCTAGTCTTTTTGACATTTTTAACTGGAAGTGATGACCAAGGGGAATGCCTGCATGTAAGCAGAGCATTGCTACAAGGGCTAACAACACAGTAGAGAAGAATCTAATGTTTCTTAAATTATTTTGTCACTATCAGAGAGATGACGAAGAGTCAGAGTTCACATATTGGTTCAATAAACAGATACCAACATAGTCCTCTTTTTAAATAGTTCCCTTTTGGTGTCACTTCCTGTTACATGTCAAGTTCAAAATATGATATGTCAATTATGTAAGAAAATGGGTAAAAATCATGTGTTATGTCAATTTTTTTAAATATGAAGTTGTTTTCTTTCACATTTTCAAATGTAGGGTATGCATGTCACAGGAGCTCTAAAGTTCCAATTATGTTATTTTTTTTATTTTACCTGAAAGAGAAGCTGCTCTCTTACAGTTAATATCCTAATTATTAGTTTGTTTGACTGACTTTGTTCTGTCTGTATTTCAGGTGAAAAGCAGCAGCTGTACAGTGCAACACCACACTTGACAGCTTTCTATGTAAGAAGACTATAATCTAGGTCATGAAGTGACAGACCTGTTTGAAGTATGCTTGAAAGTGAGTACCGGTAATGATCACAGTAGAGTTCTGGTTTTGCTTTTCTTCATAACACATTTCCAATGCTTTGTTTTGTTAGGACTGAATATTGTATTTAACATAATATAGATATTAAGTGCCTCAGACCTTAAAGTGGCTTGATCAGTCATAAGAATGCCTAAATGCAGGACATGCTAAGGTTAGGTGTTGATGTACTATCCTTAATGACTCGTTGTCAAGAAAACAAATCAAACTAAACAAGGTGCCAAGACCAAAGTAGAGATGTCAAGAAATAAACATCAGCAAACGCAAAGCTGAACTGAGACAGGAAACAAAGCTGAGCAGATGTAAGAAGTCAAAGTCAATGAGACCGTCAATGAGTTTAACTACCGGGGGTGTGAAAACCACAGTGACTGCAGGTGGGTCAATAAGGGACAGAACAAACACGATGTGAGAAGATGTAGACGACTTGAGAAAACTGCATAAGCATTTTTAGAAACATAAAACGAGCATTAAAAGTGAACACCAAGGATATTGGCTGAAACATAAACAACACCCTTCACAAAATTACTGTGTTTTCCGCCGTACACGTCGCAATGATGCCCTATAAGTCGTATCAGTCCAAATATGTCAAATAAAGTGAACAAATCCATAAATATGTTGCTTTGCCGTATACGTCGCATCTATTATGTGTCACTGCTGACAACCCAGAAATGTGGGCCGGTGTTGTGCCAAAAATCGAAGAACTACCAAATGGTGGTCAGAACTTTAACAAGAATTTAACAAGATTAACAAGAATTCACACTTAAAAACAATTATTTGTTTGTTTGAAATTATAGTAAATATTTGTCTCAGTCTAACTTTTCCTTAATAAATGCACTTTGACTGTCAAATCAGCTTTATTTCAAAAGCCGATACGTGGAAGTAAATGCGTGCACGAGACGAGTCGCTGCGCAAATTTAACAAGATAAACGCCTAAAAACAATTATGTGTTTGCTCACAATTATAGTAAAGGAGTGTCTCAGTCTAACTTTTCCTTAATAAATGCACTTTGACTGTCAAATCAGCTGTATTTCAAAAGCCAGTATGCAGAGGTAGGAAGGCGCAGAAGGACGAGTCGTTGTGCATTTCTTTGAAATTTGACAAGATAACCACCTAAAAACAATTATTTGTTTGCTCAACTTCATAGTAAAGGTGTGTTTCAGTCTAACGGTTGCTTAGTAAAAGGACTTTAACGGTCAAATCAGCTGTATTTCTTGAGTATTCACTGCCTCGGTGCTCCCAGGAGCGCAGACAGGGAAGAAAAAAGGAGAAACGCTGTGCGTTTCTTCGAAATTTAACTAGATAAGCACGTAAAACAATTATTTGTTTGCTCGACTAGCAAAATTGTGTCTCGGTTGAACTTTTACTTAATAAATGCACTTCAATGGTCAAATTAGCTGCATTTCGCGAGGGCGATGCAGCGAAATGAAGATGGTTTGACGGTTGCTCCAAGCAGCGAGCATAACAAAGGTGACAGGCTATGGCAAGCCGATTGTGTCATTAATAGTTGGTGAAGATTCTTAGTCATCCAGGACATGGTAAATTCAAAAAAGTTCAAGACAAAAATAATAAACTACAAAGTAAAGTATAATAAAGTCCAGTTGTTTTTGTCTTGAATTTTTTTAAATTTGTCATTATAGCCACTTTCACCTATTACATGATACAACAGCATGCCTTACTACTCTGCTGCCATCTAGTGGTTGAAAATGGTA